TGTTCAGCAAATGGATGGGCTTCAATAGGGATGTGATCAGAAACAGAATTCTTCCTTCAGATGTTGTGTTCACAGGCTTGATTACACAGGCTCCTTGCAATGCATACTGCAACGGGTAAAATTAAACAGCCGCCATTACTCGCTGCTTTGAAACACCCTGGACCATGATCAATGTGGTGCCTTTTTTAAGTTCAACCTCAAATGACAGAGATTTTAGAAATCTTACAAAACGTATTCGTGTGCTGTATCTCACAACAGAACTGAATTGTCATTAATGAAATGTGATAGTTTTGAGAAGAGGCAAAGACAATAGGCACTTAAGGTCTCTTTGCACAGTTTTTGTAAAATCTAAGGCGTTATGCTCTTTAGGCATCCTGATCAAAGCCTTAACATTTTCTAACAAACACTGGAAACGGATTTTGTTAAAAGTGAATCATTAAGCAGAAGCTGTAAATTGTAAGATATAATTTTTCAAAGATCATAAACTATAGAACTTAAGAAGCACAGATGACGATAAAGGCATCAAATCCTGTTCCAACATGCAGATTTGAGCATATTCATCTGGTTCTTCACATACATGAAAGCTACCATCTGCCCTTGCCAGCAAGCGGAGGACATTAAGGCTCAGCCTGGTTGATCAGTGATGACAGGGCTCTGGAGGAGGGATTAGAAGCAAGAGGGCCAAAGTTATGGTCATTCCCTCCAAAGCATGGTGTTGCATCTTGTAGGCCCGGAGCTTGAAATATCTTCAAAGGTGCACTCACCCCACACAACCAGCTCCCAGCAGACCATGGAAGCATGAATTTTGAAGGATGTGGACTATTATGATAAATATTATTTTGCTTTTGTGGTGTGACAAACCACAACACATACAGAAGGCCTTATCTAAAAACTTTTGCTTTCAGTTTGTTGTTTATCTTGAGATCATCATTGTCAGTCATATGGTTCCCTCCTGAGCTCTCCAGCTCTCAGGAGACTCCATATGATATCTCAAAAAATGGCTCATCAAAAACTGTCAAATATCTGTTATGTAAGGCATGGATGATAAATGTGTGTGTGTGTGTGTTGGGGGGGCAAATTGCAGTGCAAAGACAAACATGCATTCGATATGAGAATAGGTGGAGCCTTTCTTTCTATCCTGCTACATATTGGCTGTAAAGCAATACTCAGTTTTTGGTGAATCCTGCAACAATAGTCTGAGAGCTGAATGTTCGAGGGGCTTGGGCTTAAGTTGACAGTGGAACAGCAGTTGGGATGAATGAATAGGGGGCTAGTTTAATAAGCTCTGGTCCAGACTGGACTTCACAGGGGGCTGGCACTGCCGAAATAAGAAAACGGCAGCACAGATGAAGACGATAACGAAATCTGAAGGATTTGTCTGGTTCAATCATAAGGCCACAGTGCTGGCACTCTTAACTCCTTTTTACCATTTTATGATTTGTAAACATGCTAAATGTGCACATAATTATAATGAATGCATTGTCTTACACAGGAGCTGTGTTTCTGGTGGCGTGATTTAAAAGCTTATATATTTTCAAGCTGCCAAATTAACACAGGCTTAGACATGTAACAGATTGCCTTTCTAATGTTCTCAAAGAGGAACAAGTGATGTGATCTACATACTCATTTCACTCCACTCTTTCATCTTATTAACGGTTTTATTATATATTGTTTAATCTTTCACTTATAATCTTGATAGCGTCACTGATGCCAAACCCCGAAGTAGCTACTATTCTCCAACTGGACAGAGGATGTGAAATAGAAAATTAAAGCAGCACTGCAGCTGCATCCAGTTTATCATGTAGCGATTTACCATGGAGAGAGGGTCAGTGTACAGAAAACAGCAGATATCTGAGTAAGGTATCGTGCATTTTTGGTGGAGAGTCTGGCAGAGGACACCTACTTACCATGGAACCCCACTGGTAGAGATTAAGGGGCCATCATGAAGGAGCCACAGAGGGTGAAGACAGCCAGGAGCTGCAGGGACAGAGATAGATGAGACAGAGGAACAAGAGGACATGGCACAAAAAAAAAAAACAAACGGGGGGGGGGAGAGATGAAAAGAAGGCAAGTTGGGGAGCAATAGTGCCACTGGCTTGACCTGGGAAGAAGAGGGAGATCCAATTAAAATCACACTTGGTCATTCCGAGTCACCGCTGCCACTGCCTCTGCAGCCTCTCCAGCCTCTTGAGCCCAAGCTCAGCACTGGCTTTGAAAACTATGAGCTGCACAGTAAAAGTTAAGCAAGATGCCGTCTGGGGTTATGATGAAGCATAAAACCAAAGACTTAGTGTGACAAAGCAGCCCACCTCATACACAGCTGGGGCTCAGCTCAAGTTGACCCATAACGGTGACCCTGGAGGGCAAGATGGCAGTTCAGTGGATCCCAAAGTGAAATTAATTTATTTACATTAAATTGATCTATAGCCTGTCCAAAATGGCGCCTTTGCTTGTTGCTAGGCAGAGAGTGTGAGAGGAAAGATGGCGGTGGACAAGTGGCAAACAGGGAAGCGGAGGTCTAATCACTTGTGATTTCTGGGGGGAAGGGTGTGGCAGGGCTCAGTGATTGTGGAATATTACCACCACATGGTCAGAATGTACAAGGAAAAGGTTACACAGAAAAATTCACCATTGAAGTTGTTGCCTTCTGGCTTTTAAATGTCCTCAAACAACTGGTGGGTAAAAAAAAAAAAATGCTCACCTGTATTGTGTTTTCTGTAGAGAAAACAATTTTTAGAAATGTGGAAACGTATAGCTGGGTTTCAGAAGATGAGCTCTGAAAGAGAAACATCTTTACCACAAAATGTTAAACATCATGAAGATTATGACCTTCATCAACCTGAATAGTACTTATCAAGCAGTGCCCTCTTACATATTCACTACTCATTAACAAATGCATGTGTAACAGTTTTAGACAACTAGCTTTTATCAAAATTAAAAACCAGATACAGAAATGCATAGATTGTCTTGAGAAAAGATGGCCCAAAGAGAACTAAACACAAAATATCAACTGTAATCAAGTCAAGAGAGACTCAGAAATATGTGATTCTCCCTAAAGATGTCTGCCTATGAGCATCATGTGCAACGCACACGTTTAACCAGCACACAAACTGCGTAAACAAGTTCATCACAACTTTTCACCAATACTTTACACTGTACGCATCTAAAAAGTAGGTGCTTACTTTGCATGTATTGCTCAAAAAATGAGAAAAAATTAAAACAAGTTTAAAAAAAAAAGTTTATAAACAGAGAAGGATAGATATTGTTATACAAATAATACGAACAGCTTGGTGGCTCTGTTCCTCTTGTAATTTTGTCTTACACATAGTATCCAACACCACAGTTCAAGTCTTCTGAACTCTGAAAGAACCTTAAAGTGTATTAATATGTTTGACATTGGGAGGAAAACATCTAATAAAGTCTTGGAACATTCACCTATTACCATCCAAACAACTGACCCTCCATCAAATCATCTCACTGGAATTAAAAAAAAACATCCTTATAACAGCTAGTTATAGATTTCAAAGAAATGGCAAATGAGTGCACTTTTGACCTGGTTTCCTCTTGATATGTGTAAAGCAAATTAGTATATTTAATAGCAGTCTGCATCCAGATGTGTAATGGTATAAACTATTGACATTGATACATATAAATACAAAGTATAAAGCTTTGCTTCTGGCAGTGGAGCAAAGGTTTTTGTCTCCATGACCTTATTCATCATAATTGTGACCCATTTGATCTCCATAATAATCAACCTCTTGCAGTACTTTCCTGAGTGGGACAAGGACAGATCCTGTGTATATAGTCTTTGGCTACACACCATTAAATATCCCGTTAAGTGTAAGTCAATCGAGTCCCTGTTTTCCAACCTCTCTCCCTAATATTGTTAGACAGAGGTGTGGTTTTTGACTCAGGGAACATGGGGTAGAAAGTAAGGATGAGCTGTATGACAATAACATTTCACTGTAGATGAGTTTATCACCTTCACCAAGATGAGTAGTAAAACTAGATTCAGCCTCTCCGGAGAAAAAGACAGGCTTCAAAAAGGCATTTCTGCAGTTCATTTCTCTAAACTAAAGAGGTGTTTGTTGAAATTTACACTCCAGAAGGTACAAAAACTAAGCAAACGTGAACAAATATGTCTGCAAAACTTGATGTGAGGCAACATTTCACTACTAGCATTGTGTGAGATTTTCTGAAGTTTTATCCAACTTTTATCAAGAGCCAAATGAAACAGAACAACACAAAGCTGTCCTCTCTAAGTGGTGTTGTGAGTTTTGAACACTGAATTACAGAAAATCTATAAAGTAAAAATGATTTTAAACATGCATGAATGTAAAAACATTAATAGAATAAACACGTTTTCCGCTTGTACATGAAAAACTGTTGCAGAATAATGGACGGCTCCGATTTCAACAATACAATTTTTCAGCATAAATTTGGGATTTGTTTGCAGCTTGTTTACTTTCAAGGTAAGACTCGAGTGACTGAGTGAGAGAAAGAAAGACAAATAGATACGAAAACAAATTAACAGGACAAGAGCAAAAAAAACAAAAACAAATTGGCTTGAAGAGGAAGGAAAAGAATCGAGGATGCGCTTCATTGAAAGAAACCACGCGCTTGATCTTGTGTCAAATGCACCTGTATCCCCAAAAAAGAGACGCGCAGTCGCGGTGTAGTTGAAGAAGCTGCTCTCTGACAGGTCCGTCTGCTGTTCGCTGTGCACAGGGACCGACACATATGACTCGAATCTGAATAACTAATTTTTCTTAATTGCATGATACTGTTTACTCACGGGAAATTTAACTCGGTGAAACCGATTGCGGCGAAGGCCCGGTCAGTTTCTGACGTGGACGGAGCTTGTGGACATGACAAAACCCTACCCACATTGCAAACCGTATATAAGTTTGCACAGATTTGCAAAGCTGCAAATATAGCGTGTGCTACTGTAAATTAAAAAAACAAAGTTTGAGTTCACAATTAAAATGCATCGACTGGGTTTAACCACTGACGCCTGATCAAAGAGAATATAGACACTTTAATAAAATATAGAATACATAGTTAATTATACAGTAGGCATATGTGCAGCAGAACGGTTTGCTAATTAAACGCTTTTAATATAAGGAACACTGTGGTTTATGCGCACACTGGCTTTACTTTGCACAGAAATTTGAAATCTACATATAATACAAACAAGAATGTGTAATGAAAAGGAGCGAAAACAAAAACTTAATCAAGGGCAGAAAGTCCCACTGAGCCTGGCAGTATTTTAATAACAGACAAATCATGCTTCAGGCCCACGCAGGTCTCAAAGTTTTACTTGAAGAAAGAGCTCTCAGATACTTATTTCATGTTGCGACACACATAAAAACGTGAATAATGACTGTATATTCAGGCTACCGACATACGTTACAGATAAGTTGACATTCAACAAAAACACCTACATTCATCACCAAGACTTTTCCTTTGACTGTCCATAAAAACCTGGAAGTTCAGAAGAGTCAACGCCCAGATTTCCATAAAATTCTTTGTCATTTTTTTTGTCTCACTTAAGATAGATATCTTTAATAATTATGCAACACATAGAATAATAATTAAGCATATACACTTTGTAAAAGACTCGCTATGTGGCGATAGGCTACAAGCCAAACCCAACCACACAGACCTCACAACAAGTAAAGCTCGCCACATTTCGCAGTGCGGGATTTCAATAGGATGATCCTTGACGTGTCACAAAGTATTCGATACAACATTCACAAAAATACAGAGAGTAATAGAGATACAGCTGTAGGTTGGAGACAGTAACTTTAAGAGGAGCTCAGAGAGTCGGGATGTTATGACACTGCTTTGGAGGGACAGAGTC